CTGCCAGTGACTACTACAAAGTATGCGCGATATACAACTGCCCGGTCTGTATTAGGAAACCGTTCAAGTTGGAAGATGTTCAGAATGGGCGCCCGTCGAAGAAACCCAACAAAACGATTAGTATTCCAGAATACGGTGGTAGGGGTGAAAACGATATCTACGATAGAGGTGGATACGATCCATATGATGTTATCAAAAAAGCCCAGTCAATTTTTGACTGGTTATTTGCAATGATGCCCATGTGAGGTGCGGGTATTTCTTCGATAAACTGTAATTTCATCGTGTTAAAAGGTTTAGCGTTTGTATTATGCAAATTCTAATACTTTTTATGCGTTTTTGCCTATATGCAAATTGCAAAAACGCATATTGGGAAGAGGCTGTGTGTGCGTGTCTGTTTGTGTCTGTGTGTTCGCACTTTTTGTCACCCATTTCCATCTCAAGAACCAGAAAAGCTAGGAGGCTGAAACTTTGGGAGCATGTGCCCATACCATGCGCGGCCCTCTCGTTTTAATTTCATTCGTCGTGGGCGCCTGGGTGTCGAGTGCGGGCAATTTAAAAAATATGCAAATTTTTGGTGGGAAAGCGACCCCAGGAACCACACAAACTAAGAGGCTGAAACTTTGTAGGAACGTTTCCAGTGCATGTACTAGCTAAAAATTTCAAATTCAGCCTCCAGGTATACATAGTGCCCACGTAAGGGCGCATGAAAGGTTCAGGGGGGAAATTGCTAACTCGGGTACCGGAGAAGCTAGAAAGTTATGTTCCCTGTCCAAATACAACTCAGTTATTTCAAATTCAGTCCCAAGCTACACATAGCACTCACGAGAGGGCATATGAAAGTTTCTACGGGAAAACTGCTAACTCGGCAACCAGATAAGCTGGAAGGCTAAAATTTTAAGGGGATGTTCCCTGTCCACGTGCAATTTAAAAATTTCAAATTCAGCTTTCCAGGCAGATGGAGTACCCACGTACGAGTCTGTGAAGGTTTTAGCCGGAAAGTTGCTAACTCGGTAATCAGAAAAGCTGGAAAGCTTAAATTTTGGGGGGAGTGTTCCCTTCCCAAGTACAACTTAAGTATTTCAAATTCAGCCTTGAGGTATGTGTGGTTCTTACGCACGGGCACTTAAAAGTCTTGGCGGAAAAATTTCTCACTGAACAATTAGGTTACTTTTAAAGAACGACTGTTAAATGGAAATTGTACATTTACTTTGCAAAATTTGTGATGATTTATGCTAGTGACCGTAAAAGGTAGGTGTAAAGCAACAGCCATTCATATAGTTAGTGACCTGAGTAATTCAACTCTGGTGCAAAAAATATGATCACACGGGCCCGCTCGGCGCGTTCCAGCCTGCGTTTAGTAAAGCCACTGGAGTTAATTGCGGTAGATTTCAAGGCTTGAGCCCTGCGAAAATAACTTAATCAGAGACTAAAACAAATAAGTAATTAGGCATGCGTGCAATTTCATTATGCATTTTTGCGTATATGCAAATAGAAAAATGCATATTCTGACGACCAATGGTGCGGATGTATGTGTGACTGAGTGTGTGTGTAGTATTTGTGCGTATGCATGTCCGGATTTTCAACACGGCAACTAGGCAATCTCCGGC